GATCAGCCCGGGGATGATTCGCACTACTGCCATAAACGCAACATGGCTGCTGCAAGAGCATCTAGGTTGCCGAGCGTCGAACTCTAGCCAATTGCTTGAGTGCTTGAAAACAAGGCATCGTAATGATCTTTTAGATCCAAAAGCACCGGTAAGCGCGATGACTCTTAATTCTCGATCTCTAATCGCTTGTCTTAGAGAGTGCATTATGACAATTACAATGAATGGGTGCCCGTAGTCGATGGATATGGTGGCGTCATACCAGAATCTCCAGAAATTTTAGCTTCGTATCGTTCTACGGTTCCAATTTTGTTAGGAACTGCGTACCACGAAAGTGCATTAAATTTCGGTACGCAAAATATTTTTGCAATATAAGTTTCAGTCGATAAACCCAGAAGTTTATATTGGATTTTATATTATAATAATCAGTTAATTCACTTTCATAAGGTAGTTTATAATATTTTCATTAATCCTTTAAACCGATTTATTTCTAATCAAATATCGTAAATTCAAATTATGCTGATTCAACTGGAGGTGTTAAAATTAATGATAAGCTTTACAATTTAAAGTTACGTATAATCATTTTAGGTCATAGCAACCCATTTTTTTCATTCCTATTCGCATTTAGCTTCTTATATTAGTTGTTCACCAAGCAACAACCAGTTTGCCCTTATTGGAGAGGCTCTTACGATAGACTCTCTTCTCAAAGTTTCCGTCATCGAAGGATAGGGTAGAGGAGAGAAATACGGATAAATGGCTAGAGTACACTGAGTACTTGGCATTATCATGCTTTGGAGTAGTTAATGAAGTTGACCTGATTGTTGATAAAGATCGTCATTGTTGGAGAAACTTCCTAACGTTACCTATCCTAAGACCCAAATGGAATTGTGGGTTATAGATATGGATAGATGAATGTTGCATCACAACAGTTTTCAGTTATTTCGTTCAATTCTACGTCATGCAGATGAGCAACAGACCAGAGGCTAACAGTGAACAGTAGATGTGCTGCTAACGTAAAGATAAGATGCAAAATGCTTAGCAATAAAGAAAATATCTGCGTTTCAGTCTGTTAAGCTCCATGAGAATATCGCTAGGCATGAATTCGACTGAAATTTATTTACTCTTTGCTTATATTTTATATAATGTGATTATTGCGCACTTACAGAACTCTGTAAGGCATATGACTAATTTTCGTTGGCAGGGAATATCTAGCAGAACCACATCATAGCATACACTGTATTTCAGAAAGCAATTTCTGCTTATTACGCGCAAGGCAGATCTTGCATCATTACTGGAAGCAGAACCGGTAATAAATATGTTTCCTTCTTCAGTTTCACGTTAGAACAGAACATGTTGGTAGTGAGTTCAATTATATAGCTGCATTAAACAACTTTACTGAAGATGTTCCATTGCATTTGCATAAATATGATTTATAGTTTAGCACAGAGTATTGCATGATTGCAGATAGTCATCAACAAAGCCGCGGGAAACCGGATTAGGTTCTTATGTGAATAAACTGGTAAGCACAACGCAATGGCAAGACTGTATGAAATCTGCTAAAATTAGTCTATAGTAGACACTTAAGATAATCACTGTGAGTTCTTTGACCTACATGAAACCGACAACTCATTATCGTCTGTCCGCTGCAGCTTTTCCAACTTATTCGCTTGATCAGGAATTATTGTCCCCAAGACAAAACTTTTGCATCATTTAAAATTTATTAGAAAATTTCTCAAAAATTCATTATCATCTTACATGACCGCTTCTCCTTTCGCATCGCGGAGGCAGATGCGTCATACAGTGCATCCCACGATTCCGATCCAGAGCAACAGTGAGTTTCGGCAGAAAACAACTGGAGTCTGGAACAGACTCCTTCCATATATTTGCACCATGCAAATCTCGGCCGTCCTTTAGGACTTTTGCTGGTCAGATTGGAAAGAAACAGTTGCTTAGCCTTCCCTTCTGGATGCATTCGCAACAAATGGCCAAACCATCGCAGCTGTGACTTCTCAAC